AATGGGTGAATTGCATTGATGATCATTCTAATGTGTGAAAGAAAACTCTTACTGCCGTCAGGTCAATCCCGTTCTGACTCCCGGTAACCCTTCACCCAGGGAAGAACTACTCCTGTGAGTTTCCCAGATTGCACATCTTCATGGAGCAGAAGTCTGATGTCCTTTGCAGCGGGACTCCTAGCAAGGGGGTAGAAAGTCCTATATTTATGCACTAAGAACCTGCTAAGCCTTCTTCGGGTCTAGATACATATCAGAAGCAGGACTGTGCTGCTGGGTTTCGTAGCTGTGGGTGCTGAAGTGAACGCATTGCATTCCCACAGCAACTCCTGGTAGACCCATGGGGGGCGGGGGGCGTTTCACCTACATTCTTTGACAGATGACTTGGAAGAATGGAGTCTTCATTTTTCTGAGAGGAAACTGAGTTCAAAACATGAACCTTTCTACTTCTTGAAGAAAGAGGCTTTCTTTCTGCCACGACAACAAATAGCCATGCCTTGTGAATTTCAAACCCAGGTACTCAGTTTTCCCTTTTACGATCAGGTTCCTACGTAGCCTCTGGTATTTGCTTGTCAGAAATGTCAGGCCATTCTGGAATGGGTCCTGGTAGGTGAAAAAACAACAACCCAGTTCCCACAGTTCTTAACATTCTATAAAGCAATTTACTAGTGGAAGTGACTTGGACATAAATTCGGGGGAAATGAAGCCAGACTCTTGTTGCCTCTCTGAAAAGTGATGGGGGATGGGTAGAACTAACAGATTTTCTGTCGTGCTGAATACTTTTTTTTTTTTTTTTACAAATGTGTACGCCCGAGTAATCTATGTGATGCTAAGTAACAGTGCTGGCTATTTGTCATCGATCCGTGAGGACCGCGGTTCGAAACCACCAGCTCCTCCTGAGGAGAAAGGTGGGGCTTTCTACTCCTGGAGAGAGTTCCAGTCTCAGAAACGCAAAGGAGCAGGTGTTCCCCACCTGCAGGGTCGCTATGAATCGGCATGGACTCAATGGTGGTGAGGGTTGTTCTTTGTTTGGTTTGTTTGTTTGTTTAGGTGTTGTATAGTGTCTGGCCGGCGAAATAACAGCGAACAAGAGATCCATTACGGACAAACAATCATTCTGAGGGCGGCTCAACCACGCTTGGTTCGCTCAGAGTACCGCGGCCTTATGCAAACTGCCCCGAGGGGTGGTTTTATTTGAAGGGTGGTAACTGTGTGATTCTCAGAAAGCTATTATATCTTCGTCTCATTGATAAACCTCATTTGTCCCCATACGTGAAATGGAGATCATGTCAGAAGATTAAACCATGGGCGAGAGCAATTTTGTAAGTCTGCAGTGATCGAGTATTGGCAGGTTCACTTGATGCAATCTGATCATTTCTACCTTGTGGGAGTATTGTGAGGATGAGGCGAGAGCTGACTATACAATGTCTGGCCCACTACTTGCATCCTGTTAAGTGCAGAATAGGTGGTAGATGCTGTTATTTTTAAGTGAACGATATAATTATTTTTCATAGAATAGTAAAATGAAAAATCCTATTTCTTTACAAACATAGAAGTTCAGGCTACCTATTTAATATAGCACAGTGATACCAGGCAGATTTATTTTTCCTGTAAATGTCTCACGGCGCATATAGCTCACCAAACTGCCAGAGAGAGCAAAGTTACGGCTTGTGGGCCTTCATCCTGTCCTGTGCCATGAAGCTCCCCAGGGCATCTGTGTGGGGGCTGGTGCCAGGGCTTCTTTCTATTTTATTGCCAAATACTAGTCTGTTGTCCAGATATCCCGCATCGTGATCGCTCACCAGTGGACGGACATTGGGGCTGTCTCCTCTTCGGGGCTATTATGAAGGCTGTCGGTGTAAATATTCACATGCAAAAGACCACATCGTGTATGCTTCCATGTACGCGAAATGTCCGGGGCAGACAAATCCTTCAAGACCGGCAGGAGTGCAGGCCAGAAGTGGACAGAGGGGAGATGGGGAGAGAGTGGGGGTGGGTATGTGGACTCTTCTTGGGGTGAGGGAAATGCTCTCAAAGCTGTGATTTAGGAAGCAGTGGGGAGCAGTGTATCATGCCCACCCATCACAAAGGGCAACATTGCCCCTTGCAGAGGGCATCCTGGGCTTGGCTTGGCATCTGGTCTCATGGCCAGCAGAGAGGGTTTCATTCCTGGTCCGCTCAGCACGGAGGATCGGAGCTCTTTTCTAGGCAGCTCAGAGTTAGCAGAAATGTCCTGGTCCGGAAGATGTGATGAGGCCAAACGCCACAGCAGCCACCGCCACAGCAGCACCACATTTGGCTCAGGGAGGAATCTCGCCCTGCCCCGATGCCAAAAGGAGGTTTTGCGAAACAGAAACAGGGAAGGTTAAAGAGATTTATTTGCAATTTGCACAGACTCCTCTGCTCTGTAAGGTTTTGCATAATTGCCTGCAATGCAATTTTCAGGAACATTCCCTGTGAATCGATATTAGGTGGTCTATAGCTTGTCATTAATCTGCTTCAGGAGAAAGATGGCAGCAATGCTGCTTTAACCATCGGAGTACTCATTGGATGTAATTTTTGCAGCAATTTATATTCAATCCCAGAGACTGATAAATAGGCCTCCCCCCTTTTCTAACCAATCACAAAGTATGCTCATACAAAGGATTCACAGTGCTTTCTAAGGGCTGGTTTCTTGCAGCGAGCAAAAAGCGGAGTCCAGGTTCTTTTAGAACTCGGCAGCATCTCCTGGCCACTGTTTACATCTTTTCTTCCATCTCCCTGACTTCAGATGACACAACCTTGCCGTCCACCACTTCTTCCACGACCGTCTTGATCTTCCTGGTTTTCTTGATATCTGAATTCGGATTTAAAACATTGCATGTTAAGGCAGACACATGTCTCTGTTGGCTTCTGATTCTCATTCTGTTATCATTTTGTACTTTTAGGAAAATGGTCAAATCCATTCTCTTTCTTATACAACTCTAAATCCTTTGTGTACACAAATGCCAAAGATGTGCCACACTCACCGATTTAGACATGCTGTACTCTCTCTGCTCCAAATAGAAATATCTAGTATCGAATTCAACAAAATTTACATTTTACGCCCCCCCCCCCCATCTCAGGATGTCTCAGGACAAAAATGACCCAGGTGTAAAATTTGCCCTGCCATAGAGGTGTGACAAATTTCCCAAGTGGAGGGTCGCTTTTTGCAATGTACACGGGTTCCAGAATCTCTAGTGTCATGTCAAAGGAGCGCTAATGGAGCAGTGGGTCAAGCGTTTATTCTACTAACTGCAAGGCCAGCAGCTCACCTCAACCCCCACCCCCTCCGCACTCCCAGGAGATCCACAGGTGACAGATGACGTGGTCTGCTCCTCCAAAGAGTTCCAGACTCAGAAACCCTCAGGCATTGTTCTGTTCTGCCCTATAAGGTGCTATCGTTAAAACCTACTCACGGGCAGTGGGTTTGGTGTCAAATGAAGGAAGCACGGTGGCACGGTGGTTAAGAGCTAGGCTGTCAACCATAAGGTTGACAGTTCCAACCCACCAGCTGCTCCATGGGAGGAAGATGTGGCAGTCTGGTTCTGTAAGATCACGGCCTTGGAACCCCTGTGGGGCAGTTCTACTTCAGCCTCTGGGTCTCTCTGAGTTGGAATCACTCAACAGGTGTGGGGTTGGTTTTGGGACGGTCATGTCTGCCCACTTTTGACTGGTGCTGGATAATCAGCAGAAAGCCGCTCAGTAAACATAGGACAATTGGAACACTTACCTCTCTCTTCCTCTGGGATGCTTAACTGATAGGTCCTTTTTGTTTGTTTATTTTTAAGAAAAGAAAAAGAAACAGAAATAACAGTTATTGTCATGTTGTTATTGTCGTTCCTGCTCTTTGTCTTTCAAAGCAAAGTCAGAGTGATGAGTGTGTGAGGGCCAGTTTTGTAGTTTTCCTTTACACAATGCTAGTCGAGCCAAACTTGGGTTTTACTTCCTAGATTGAAGACATAGAGCTTCAAAACCAGCCTATTAAACACATTTTGGAAGTTTGGTAATGGATATAACAGAATTAGTCAATGTTTAAACCTTGTGTTCTTTTATTGACTTTCTTTGGTTTGATATTTGTAGATCTTTGCTGCTGAAATGCTGTTGATTCTCAGATGAATCACCAGGGACCTCTGTAGCTTATTGTTCAGCTCATGAATTCTCAATGATAATAAAAAAATACATATATTATTCTTTCGATGATGTATTAATTATAAAAGTTAAGAATAATCTATATCACTGGATAACCATCTCTGAAGTCAGTCTGACCACATGACCTTACAGTACAAAGACTCGATGTTTTTAGGATGTGTCTGCATGTCTTTGGATATACATTTGTTTTGTTGTTGATTTGTGTGGTTGCTTTTGTATTAAGGATTGTACTGGTGCTTGGCAAAGAGTGACAGGGCTTAATGTGTGGACATACAAATAGAACAGCGCGCAGAAATGGATACATATTCCTTAATGTTAAGAGCCTTACATGCTATCCTCTCCTTCCAAGAGACGGCGGTAAGTAGCGATTTCCTGCTCGAGCCTGGTCTTTATGTCGAGAAGAATATTGTATTCGTTGTTCTGATGTTCTGTGTCAGTCCGTATCTTCATCAGCTGGGCCTCTAGGGAGCTTATCATCGCCTGGATGTTGGCCAATTGGTTGCTGTAACGAGCTTTGGTCTCCTCTAATGTATGTGCCAAAGATTCTTTCTAGGAGCAGAAGAAAGAAGACGTTTCTTATGTGAGGACTTGAGTTGAGAGGGGGCCCCATTTTGATTTCTCTAGAGAGTGAACTCTGGAGCTGGCCCTGTCAGCAGCAGGTGCATTTCTAGCGTTATCTCCCACTCTTTCCACCAAGCAACCTCAACCTTATTGGGATCACTAGTTTTGCCTTTTGTTTTCTATTTACCTTTTGGCTTATGCCTGCTTTTCTCTCTTATGACTATTTGCCCTTCCTCCTGGTGAGAGGCTTTATCTCCCTGTCTCTGACTTCGGATTTGGCTGCATGGTTTTATGGGTCCCTCCATGTGGGCCCATTCGAACTCCTCCTTCCATTAATAGACATGTTCTTGCGACATTTATTTATTTTTTGGACAATGAAATGCAGATGGACGCTACACATGCCTTTTCTGCCAAGAAGCTTTAAGAGCTACTGTGTGGTCCTGCCTTGACTCCTCCCTTTCTGCCACATTGGCCTGCCCCACGGAAGGCCACGCAGCTAGCTTTGCCCTTGGAGTGAAGCTGTCAGGAGGCAGAGCTTCAGGGGGGCTGTGCTGGGGGTCGTGGTGGTGTTTGAAGCAGTTAAGGCTTGGGGATTGTTTCATACGGTCATTCTAATTTGTGGGGGCATATGAGATTTTATCTTAAGCTGGCTGATTTGGCTCACCTGGAATGACCATACCCTCACCTCTCAATTTTAAGACACACCCTATTTTTGAGATCTATCTTAAATGCTCCCCCCTTCATCAGCCATCCAGACCAGCTCTTTCTCTATTTCTGCAGGACGTTGCTATTTTCTTGATTTCCTCCTGCCTTTCATGATGATCAGCTGTTTGGCCTATTTCCCGGCGAGTTCTGGGAGAGAGAGGAGTCCTTTCTTTACCTTTCTAGCATTGCTAACATGGGTGCTTAGGCAACACACCCACTGGGTTAAGAAACGGGACAGGAAGGGAGCTGTGCTTTACCATACTGAGATGGGATTGGAGCTCTATCTCCAGGTTCTGGTAGGTGCGTCTCATCTCCTTCACTTGAGCCTCGTGCACCTGTGTTTCTTCAGTGCTCACTATGACTTGCTGCTGCAGAGTTTCCGCCTGGGGGTCCATCCCGACGTGAGAAAAGGCGAAAGAAAGGAACGACGTTAGCTCTTGCTGGAGAATAAGTCCAACACCTGCCCACACCCTACCCTTTAGAACCAAGTTATCACCTGCTTCGCAAAGTGATCTTTGATCTCTTGGAGGTTATTCCGGGCTAAAAGGTCATATTTCTGTCTCATCTCATTCATGATGGCTCCGAGGTTCAGGCTGGGAGCAGCATCCACCTCTACGTTCACGGTGTTGCCCAGCTGCTTGCGCAGGGTATTGACTTCCTGCGCGCGAGAAAATACAGAGCAGAAAAAGACTTGAAGCGCATATGATTGATTGGGAAGGAGTTAAAGAGAAACAAAATGATGACTACATTTATTATCAGGCAGGTACTAGTCTAAGTCATCGAACCCGTACAATGACCTTAGGGAAAGTTAGGTCCATATGTCATGTTTGCTGTCCTCTGGTGCACCAAAACCATGACCCCCGTCACCCTCTCCTCCCCTCCTCCTCCTCCTCCTCCGAGACATTCCATCGTTCTCAATATGACCTCTGAATGTTTTCTTACCTCCTCATGCTCCTTTTTGACGAGGATCAGGTCTTTCTTCAGCTCTTCAATCTGTACCTCCAAGTCTGTCTTGTGCAGAGTCAGATCATCAGAGACCTCACGTAGGCTTATGCAGTCGGCCTCCACGGTGATCCCTAAACCTCTCTCCGTCTCACACCTGCGGATCAGTTCGTGTGCAGAGGTAATTGAGTCTCTCTGTAGGACAGTCTTAATGTCATGAGATAAATTCTATATAGCATATATGGAGATCAATTTTGATACTTTTAGCTTCCCTTTATACATTCAGAACATGTACACAAGAACCTCAGGATCAGCTTTTCTGTTCCATAATATAATCTCTGTGATTAGGAGTGACTTGTGACAAGGCAATCTAAAATAACTTTCAAAAGTCTCTGAATTCTGTATTTTAAAAAATTGTTTATGATGCTATCAAGAGACTCTTATTATTGATATCAATAATGGTTATTGACATCTAGTAATGGTTAGTGATAATAAATATACACAATCAATTTATTTTGATTACTTTGTAAATAGTTATGTGAAAAGTGAACTATATTAAGTGATAATGCATTATTTTCTACATCATATCCATCCTTTTTAAAAAAATAGCAAACTTGTTTTTTAAAAAGAGAATGCAAAGGGACCCTCAGATGCTGAATGAAATGTTACTGCTTTGATCTTCAGATAGGTTTTCCAAGTTACTGCTTTTTAATCCCTCATAGCATTAAAATGACATCCTTGAAGCCATGTAGGTCTTTTCAGGGCCAATGGCTTATCTAGAGGAAGCTCTAGTTTTGAAGAAGTTGAAGAGGAAACGTTCTGATTTCTCAAAGTATGATGTGCTACAAGTAAAATTACTACAAGTCACACGGCTTGACCAGACCATATTGTAAAACCCTTGGAAATAGGAAGTATCAAGGGAGACTGCAGGGAGCTGGGTCACACACATGTAGGTGTTTGAAGGAACACGGATGGCCACTTGGAGAATCATCAAGGGTAGACTGCATGGGTCTCAAGAAAACAGAAGGGTTCTTATGTAGAAGACCAGGAGAAAATTGGTACGCTGTTACTACCAAGATGGCACGGGGCTTTCTCACAGGTCTATGAGAAAGGACATTTGAGCAATAGGAGGTGGTGAACGGAAACCGTAGGAGCGACAGGAAGTGCTCTCTGCCGTCTGGCCACATCTAAGACGGTGGGAAATAGATGTCCAGCCCAGAGTGCTGTGTTAGCTCAGATAGCATCTAACCCTCTGGAAACCAAGACTCTAAACATCTTGCATGGTAGTTCCTTTACCAACAGTACTATTGAGAGTTCGTGTCATAAAGGTCTAGTAGAAGGAATTCCTTTCCAGGAAGCTTTACCATCGTATTAGAGAACCTACTTCAGCCGGAAGTCCTCGGCGGCCAGTTTAGCATTATCAATGTGCAGAATACACCGAGCATTTTCCAGTTGAGCCTCTTTAATCTGGAAAATACACGATGAAGAATGGCATTTTCAACGGGTCAAGAGTTTAGTATTATTGCATATTTCCTCAGCTACAGCCACTGTTCCATCAGGGAATTTCCACGTGAAAACAGAAAGCAAGACAAATGCTATCGACATTTAACAGAATAGATGGGATACCCACGGAGCTCTTAACCACCAGGTCAGGCCTTTGAAGCCACCAGCCCGCCTGAGGGTGAAAGACCAGGTGGTCTGCTTCTGTCAATAGTTAAGTCCTAGAAACCCAAAGGGGCAGTGCTCTCTGGCCTCAGAATTGACTTGACGGGCGTGGGCCTGGCTCGATGCTTTATCTCCAGACCCTCAGGACTGAGCCCGCTTCCTGGTGACTTTGCCCAATCACTGCCACCGAGTCGATGCCGACTGTATAGGACAGGGTAGAACTACCCCTGTGAGTTTCTGAGGCTGTGCCTATGAATGGGAGTAGAAAGCCCCCGGCTTTCTTCTGCAGAGCGGCTGGTGGGTCCTAACTGCTGACCTTGCAGTGAGCAGCCCAGTTTGATTCCGCTCGATGCAACAATCCTTTGTTGAGCTCTTTACCTTGGATAGTCTTCTTACTCAAAAATCCACTTCGTTTCTCTTCACCTGATGAACTGCTAGTCTTTCTTCTTGCCTCAGCTTAGACACCATTGCTTCCAGGAAATCTCCAGAAAGCTGAATTGGATGCTCTGCCCTTGTCCTTGTTGCTCTACACAGCCCTCTCTGCTAGCATGGATCCCTCTGCCCGGTAACTGCCTTTGTTTGCCCGATTCTACCTACAGCATGTTCAGCATCCTCCTTCCCAGGGGCCAGAATTTTTCCAAGCACCAGTTAGTGCCTGCTAAGGACTGACTGACCAACTGAACACTTGCTATAGTAGAAGTTTTACTGGGCACTACTGCTAGGTGATAGAGATGCCCCCAATCTTTAGAAGTGGTAAACCAATGTAGCCCATACATGCAATTCTCACAGACGCATGTAGCTTGAGAAGTATACTTGTAGAAGATGCACAATGATATGTCTCTTTCAGTCCTTGAAGGACTACTTTAAAAAAAATCATTTTATTGGGGGCTCATAAAACTCTTATCACAATCCATCCATCCATCCATCCCTTGTGTCAAGCACATTTGCACATTTGTTGCCATCATCATTCTCAAAACATTTGCTTTCCACTTGAGCCCTTGGTATCAGCTCCTCATTTTTCCTGCCCCTCCCCACCCGCTCCCTCATGAACCCTCAATAATTTATAAATTATTATTATTTTGTTATATCTTACACTGTCTGACATCTCCCTTCACCCAATTCTCCATTGGGAAGGCTACTTTTATAAGCCATGATCACCCCTAAGTGGAACGGATGGCTTTGGGACCATGGATTTGGGACCATCCAAAGCCGAGTTAGCAATGTCAACCATGAGTCAGGTGTGGGAGAGTAGTGGCTACTTTGAAGTTTCTAATGGAACTTAAAAAGAATAATCGGGCAATTTGAATATCTTTGCCTCATATTCTCAGAGCCCCTGAAAACCCCAAATAACTAACTTCTGGTGGGGACTGGATCAGACTTCTGGTCCTACTGGTTTGGAAGACAGCTGAAGAAAAACAGCTATCAGGTGTGTGACCTTTGCACGAGGGGAACACACACTGAGAAGACAAGCGAGAATGAAAGGGGAGTTTTTCTTTCTTTTGTTGAATTTATAACATTCCAAAGTTTATTCAAACAACAAACAAACAAACAATGCATTAAGACTCCTCTTCACAGGCTGAGGGGGTGTGAAGACAGAGACTCAGCAGCTAAAATGACATCCTAACAACCACTCTCACGGTGGCTCTGAGATGAGAAACCTAGTTCTGTAACAACCACTCCCGTGAAGGGGAGTTTTCCTTGAGGAGATAAGGAGTTTTGAAGCAAAGTAGGCGCTCTGTGTCATGTCTGAAACCTTCGACTAGGAGCAAAGTCTCCTGCTTTTATGCCACACAGCCGAGGAAATGGAGCACCCCACCTTTCTCGGATGGCGTGGGAGCAGGCTCTGATATGAGTGCAGTAAATTTGAATTGGGAGCAATAGGACAATTGGTTAATGAACTGCTCAGAGAGGACGATCAGATTATTAAACAGGGCACCTATCAACCCAGCATCATTCACCCAACCTTTGCTCTCTCCCCGGTTTCCGCCCTGAATCACGTTATCGCTGACCTGTGCTATGGGAACCTCATGCTTGTATATGATATTTACACAAGTGAGAGGAGACTGAAAATCTCTGAATTGACTCGGGCTTTGAAAGCTGGCGGACACTAGGATTTAAAAAGCAAACAAAACACTGAGCAAAGCTATTATATTGCCACATATAAAATAATCTAGCTCTTTTCAGGTTGGAAAAAGCTTTCTATCCATTTAACACTGACCTGGTAAACAGGAACCAACCACAGATTACAATAGAGGCTAAGCACTGCATAGTGTGTATGGAATTACATGGGATCATTCAGAACGGTCGTATATAAAGTTACTCTCTTCTACCACCTCAAGGGTAGTGGACAGAGCATTTTTCTAAGGCTAGATTTCAGCAAGGTAGGCTTTACAATGTCCATATTGCCGTGCCTACAGCGCAATACAAGGACAGGACCCCTGAATTCATCCTACAGCACTGCTCACCTGACGTTGCAGCTCTTCGATGTCCCTGTAGTAGGCACTGTAGTCCCGGCGTGCGCTGGGAGCACTGGCCTCATACCACTGCTTGATCTGCATTTCAAGCTTGGCGTTGGACTGCTCCAGAGACTGCACCTTTTCCAGGTAGCTTGCCAGGCGGTCATTTAGGCTCTGCATGACTATTTTCTCATTGCCAACAAACAGGTCTCCGCCGGAGAGTTCGCCCCCATAGCCCACCTGTCTGGAGGTGGAGATGCGGATACCTTGGCCGCCAGCTCCCCCATAGACGCTGGGGGCAGCCCCGAGGCGCTGCAGGCTCCCCCTGCTATACAGGGAGCCGCTCATGCTGAGTGCTGAGGAAGCCAAGGGTCTGCGGAGGCTTCTCTGGCTGAAATCCATCGGGGCGTCTAGGAGAGGTCACCTGTGGCTACAGGATGGACGGGCGGTTGAGCAGTCTGTCCCAGTGGATGCTGGGCTGGCTTTTATAGAGTTCAAGGCAGCCAGACTCCTCCCCTGCTGAGGGAGATGTTACCGTCTACCCTGCCTGGCTTCATTTAGTGCAGCATTATGCTTAATTTGATTCCAGAAATTACCATTCGAGCCATTCTTAGAGGCTTCTCTCGGGGTGGGGTGGTGTCTTTTTGAAAAACAGGGAACAAAAGGAGGCAGGAGGGTGTATTCTTTTAGCCCCTGCACCTGTCTTGACAGCCCTTCCCCCCACTTCATCCTAATAGACACGTAAAGCATATTTATGATCTTCATGAATAATTTAGAAGTTTGAAAGGCCAGATGCGAGTACACAATAGTATAAAGGAGCCCTGGTGGCACAATGGTTGAGCGCTCCCCTGCCAACCGAGAGAGAAGGTGTTTCAAACCCACCCACTGGCCCTCCTGGAGCCAAAGACACCCTGTAATGTGGCCATTACAGCCAAGAGACCCTCAGGGCAGCTCTGCCCTTGCCACAAGAGGTCAGTGCCCACCCCGACAGCACTTGGACCATGGCTTATTCCTTGCGGCAAATTGCTTTCCCAGACCTCGGCTTGTTGCCCTCTTCCTAACCTTTCAATTTAGTTCATATTTCACAAGAACGACTAGCATCTAATGAATGAGCATCTAGTTAACACGGCACAGGCCCCGGCAGGGTTTCCTTCTGTGGTCCCTTAGATCTGACTCGGCGGTGCTCGGCAACAACATCAAGATAGTCTGCACTAACAGAAACCTCAACTAGTCACCATAGGAAGTGAGACCTAACATATGTAGACAGAGCCGGGGGGAAGGGATTAAATGGATTCCGGTGAGTGGGAGACAAGCTGCTTTCGAAGGTTTGTTTTTCTAAGTTGTCATGTAGCCCTGGTGGCAGGGTGGTTAGGTGTTGAGCTGTTAGCCACGAGGTCAGCAGTTGGAAACCACCAGCCGACCCTCTGGAGAAAGAGGAGGCTCTTTGTTCCCTAGAGTGACAGTCTCAGAAACCCACAGGGGGAGGGCCAGCCTGTCCTACGGGCTGGCTGTGCGTCAGCTTCCACTCGATGGCACTGACTTTGGCTTGGTTTGGATGATCAGTAAGTGATCATTTACATGTCTCAGTCGATGCCTGGCTTTAGATCCTGTTGAGGTCTGGAATGTTATAAGAGCTGTAAGAGCCCCCAATAAAAATGATTAAAAAAATTAGAATAAATGGCATCTTGTTTTGCACCTGCCTGGTCTGGTAAAAGGAGCCTCTTTTTCCTGTAAGACGCCAGCTCCACCACAAGGCAGGCTCCCCCGGAGCTGTCGTTGCGTCTCCTGGAATTCCCAATACATCTCTGTTGCAGACGCTTCCAGAGCACTTTCTCTTAGGCCCCCACTCTCAGAGTAGGAGCGCTTCCACTACGGCAGGGGTTCTCCCCCTCCCTCACGCCGCAGCCCTTTCAGTCAGGTCCTCGTGGTGGGGACCCCAACCATCAAATCATTTTTGTTGTTATTTCATCACTGTCAGTTTGCTACTGTTATGAATCATCATGTAAATATCTGATGTGCAGGATGTATTTTCATTGTTACACGTGGGACATAATGAAAGCCTAGTGATTAATCACAAAACAATATGTCATTATATATTGTGAAATTATTTATTTCTAACTACAAATAAATGAAATTTTGTCTTGAAGCATGGTGTGGCATGGGTAACAGTCTTAATATAACAATAGTAAACTGCATTGCTACATTTTGCAACGGTATGCATAAAAAGCCAATGTCAGTGTGAAGGTTGAGATAGCTTCTTTCTCACCAGACCAGCATATCTGCATGTGGGTGGATCTGCCTGACGACGGACAGATAGAGAAGCAGTGTCTCCATTGCTAAGACCATTGGAAATATGTGTTTTCTGATGGCCTGAGGCAACCCCTGTGAAAGGGTCATTCGACCCCCAAAGGTCATTTGACCCCCTAAAGGTTGCGACCCACAGGTTGAGAATCCCTGCATTACAGGAAAGGGCTTGTGCAGAGCCGTGGGGCTGGACTCACCTTCCCTCCACGGAGCGCTGTAAACCATGGCCCCACACATGGAACTTCAGACACCTGGTGAATGAGAATGATCTCATGAGTGGCTATTTGATTGTAAATACTCCATAAAGACTTGTGGAACTGAACATAAGTTATTCATTTGCTCCTTTCATCCAAAGCATGTGGCTGAAGATGTGCACATCTCCCAGCACATTTAAATTGATTCCTTAATCAAGTTAAATAAAAAAAAATTGGAGCATCACAGAAAACATCTCATTAGCTCTTACCCTGATCCTTTACTTGAACTGAGGTTTGCATGTGACTAAAGAAAGCAGGTAAACACACGCACATACAAACCCATCTGAAAAGGGCATAGCTCTAATTCCTACTTCTTCCTTTTGGAATAATTTGGAATTATCTTGCTTACATGGCTTTTTGTTTTCCTTTCTGGTTGTTGTTCTGAAACTGTTTTATTTCTTCCTCCCTTTTGGATCTTTAAGTTTCTTTTACCTCCTTTCAAAATGAGGTAAGACTATATTGTCTCCTATAAGCACTATATCTTAAGATAAAACTTTACATTCGTTTTGGTTTCAGTTATGCTATGAGTCTTGATGGCAGAGTGGGTTATGAGTTGGGATGTTAAGTCAAGGTTCAAAGCCACCAACTGCTCCTCTGGAGAAACAGGAGGCTTTCTGCTATGGAAAGATTTAAATTCTCAAACACCCACAGGTTCTATAGGGTCTGTTCTATAGGGTCTGTTCTATAGGGTCTGTTCTATAGGGTCTGTGAGGCAGAATGACCTCTATGGCAGTGAGTTTGATTCTGAGTATACAAGGAAAGCAAACATGGAGACATAGTTCATTCTCCCTCGTGCCCTTGCTTCTATGTCTGTCCGTTCATAACGGAGTCAGCCAGTGCGTATTGAATGCCCGGTACCCGTAACTGAACGTGTAAAAGGTGCTGTTATTAGGCAACTTCATGCCTAGCAGCCCAATGTACAACAGAGCAAAACACTGCCTGGTCCTGGGCCGTGCTCACAGTCCTTATGTTTGAGCTCACTGCCGCAGCCGCTGTCTCAGTCTACCGCCGTGACAAACCTCCTCTTTGTTCATGCCCTCGACTGTACCAGGCATGTCCTGATCACAGGTTCAAAGCACTGGGGCGAGGTCTTGCCATCCTCGCCCTCAAGGGGCATTCTGGCGATACAGTCCCAAGACGGATGTGCTGCTTCTGGCAGTCCCCGGTGCTTTCAATAGTCTTTGTGAACATCATGAGGAAGACACATCTCTTCTTCTGTATTCTTCTCATTCAGTGTCCCACATTCACGTGCATATAAGGCAATTGAAAATATCATACCTCAAGTCAGGTGCAGCTTGGTCTTCAAAGTGACATTCTTTTTGTGTTTTAGTTTATATTTATTTTTAATGAATTAACTCAAAAGTTTATTGTCACATTGCCTGCATATCCTACAATTCAATAGTTCAGTTACATCAAGAGGAATTGTATAATCATCACCACAATCAATTTTAGAATATTTTCTTCTTTCTTATTATACTCATTGTGGTTAGACCCCCCTTGCCCCCAACCTCTCTTGCCATCCCCCCAAGAAACCATTAATTTAGTTACAGTCTCTGTAGATTTACCTATCTTGGATTTCTTTTCTTCCTTTCTTCTTTTTGCTCTTTTCAGTTGATTGCATGAAGGAGTTACACTAGTCCAAGTTAAATGTGGACCCCAAATGGTTACATCATACAAGCTGTGAGGTTTTAAACTTGTGACGGGGGACAGAGGGAATTGTTCTACTCATTGCAAAGAAATCCTCACTTAAGCTTCTGTGAGCCTCAAGCACTTAAAACCCATGAACTGATGGGCGTCCTTAGCCCGTCCAATCTCTACAAGGAACTGGCCTATGTTCTCGAGCTGGTCACCCTGGAGCTGAATCACTGCTCTGTATTCTGGATGCTCCATCAGCACCATTGCAGGCACATTTCTTCTTAGAGGCCTTCACCAGTTTCTTTTTGTCGTAATCATCAGCGATCCCTTGGACAGTGGTAAGGGTCTTCCTGCCGTTGCGCTGTTGAATTCTTATATGGATATAATCCTCAGTCCCCGCGGGAAGCAGGTCATCACCCTTACTGGCATCAGCAAAGGGGTCGAAAGAGTGGAGGTTCTGGATAGCGGACATACGATACGATTCCTTTTCCTCGGTGGAAACGGCCTGCAGAGGGCGGCGGCTGGAGAAGGCGGGCAGGGGGGACGGAGCGTCAGGAAGGAAGGGGGCTCGAGGGGGAGGCTGCTGAGTCCTCGGCAGCGGCTCAGTGACTGGGGCCTATCCTGGATTTCATATACAGAAAAACATACCAGAAAACAGAAAGCAAATTGAACAACAATAACAAAGTAAAAGAGAAAAACCTCAATGGAAAATAAAGTAGAAAATATTAAAAATTTGAACAAATTAAAGAGGGGTCAAAAGGAAGATCCGATGAGAAAGAGTTAAATTTTAGCCTAACTGCATCTGCAGTGACCCACCTCGAAATGTACTCTGCAGGGCAGCAAGACCGGTCACACCCCTGGTCTATGGTCAGAGGAACTTAGGTGGAGTAAATCTACATGTATTTCCTCTGCACTTTTTTTTAAGTGAAAAAATTTTAGATGGGTCAAAAGGGAGATCAGATATGACATTTTAACCTTACTATATCTACCATCATCAACTTTACAAAGCTTTCTGTCTGATAACAAGGTAATTCACATCCCTTGATTCATTGCACACTTAAGCCATGTATGGACCTTGCAAATGAATTTTGGGTTTCCCTATCTCCATAGCCTTCTGCAAGCCAGGTGTTCACAACTTAAGCTTTGATACCATTCCCTCCTTTTGGTTTGGGTTATGTTATTTATAGTTCATAGATCCCACAGGCTAGT